GAGGAGGAGGAGGAGGAGGAAGAAGAAGAAGAAGAAGAAGAAGAAGAAGAAGAAGAAGAAGAAGAAGAAGAAGAAGAAGAAGAAGAAGAAGAAGAAGAAGAAGAAGAAGAAGAAGAAGAAGAAGAAGAAGAAGAAGAAGAAGAAGAAGAAGAAGAAGAAGAAGAAGAAGAAGAAGAAGAAGAAGAAGAAGAAGAAGAAAGACAATGGGGTCCTTAGTGCTCTCTGAGCTTGGTGGTTTTCTTGCAGACATTTCATGACCCAACTAGGGAACATCATCAATGCTAGAAGGGAGTGGGGTTTGCAAAGAGAAAGAGGAAGACTGTGAGATCCTCAGTGCTCTCTCCATGCTTGGTCATTTTCTTGCAGATGTTTTCTGACCCAATTAAGTAACATGCTCAATGCTAGAAGGGAGGGGGGTTTGAGGAGGGGAGAAAGAGGAGGAGGAGGAGGAGGACTGTGGGATTCTTAGTTCTGTCCAGGCTTGGTCGTTTTCTTGCAAATGTTTCATGACAAAACTAGGAAATGCTAATAAGGAGTGGACTTTACTTCTGTTTAGATACATATGGCTTGCCCTGTCAGTGTTGGTGAGAGTGGTCTTGGCAGTTCTTTGATTGGACTGTTATTTACTTCTTGATTGTTGGTCTAGAATTAAACTTGGCGTTAATCTGTGCTTATCTCGGTGTTGTTTGCCAGTGAGGAAGAGTTTTGGTCTTTCAGCTTTTTTGATTGACTCTTTGGAATGTCATGAAGAGGTGGCTGATCTCAATTTGCTTGTCAATAGCCGATTTGTCAGAGTGCCAGGCTTCCAGGAATTCCCTGGCATGTTTGGACTTGGCTAGGTCTAGGATGCTCATAGTTTCCCAGTTGAAGCTATGGTTAACTTATGCCTGTCCTTGTATTGTGAAATTAAAGAGATTTCATCGTGTCTTCTGGTTGCTAGTTGCTATTCATGGATGTGTTTTGTTTCCATCCAGAAGAAAGATTAATTCCCCTAGCAGGTCAAGTATATTGTGGAAACATAGCCAGTGTTGGGTCAGAAGCAGGGAAAAGCAAACCCAGTTACCCATCTGTTGAGTTGCAAAGTTGTACTTAATAAAAGCTTGGTGGTTTTCCTGCAGACATTTCATTATCAAACTCGATAACTAGGTTAGTGGACTGATAAAGTTACCTAGTGGGGTAATGAAACGTCTGCAGGAAAAAAACAGTAAGAACCCCACAGTCCCCCCCTCCTCCACCTCCTCCTCCTCCTTCTCCTCCTCCTCCTCCTTCTTCTTCCTCCTCTTCCTCTTCTTCTTCCCCCCCCCCCCACAATCCTCCCTCCCTTCTAGCACTGATGATGTTACCTAGTTGGGTCATGAGAGCACCAAGGACTGCGCAAAAATAGAAACAACAAAAGATTCAGTGTAAGTCATTCGTATCAAACAGTGGCATTTGCAATGCCAATCTATTTATTACCGTCCAGTTGACAAATACTGCAAAACAATCACAGCAATTATACAAGACATGTATTAATTTCATTTTTTTAAAAAAACAAAATACCTGGAAATACAGTACAAATGGTAAAAACTTTACAGATTGTTCAGGAGACCCATAATTTAAGGAAGCTTGTATCACATGGGCAATAGAAAGGTTTCTCTCTCTCTCTGTGTGTGTGTGTGTGTATGTATCTTACGTAGTTTCATTGGAAGTGCTTTTTTTTTAAAGATGATTTTTTATTGATTTTATTTGTATTCTGCCTTTACTATTTTTACAAATAACTCAAGGTAGGGAACATATCTAATACCTCTTCCTCCTCCTACACAAAAACCCGGTGCGGTGGGTTGGTCTGAAACAGAATGACTGGCCCAAAGTCACTCAACCAGCTTTTGTGCTTAAAGTGGAAACTAGAACTCACCGTCTCCTGGTGATTGGCCCATAGTCACCCAACTGGCTTTCATGGCTAAGGCAGTACTAGAACTTTCCATCTCCTGGTGATTGGCCCAAAGTCACCCAGGTGGCTTTCATGGCTAAGGCAGTACTAGAACTCACCATCTCCTGGTTTCTAGGCTGATGCCTTAACCACTAGACTAAACTGGAAGTATTGTCTGATATTACTAATCTACGCTTGCTTTTCTTCCCAGTTCTGTTGTACTACCCACTAGGCATTAAAAATAGCCCTGTGTAAAAGACCCGGGCCAAAATTCAACACTCAGTCCTGCCACACACATCCCTAGGTGTGAATGACACGTGGCAGTAGTAACCATCTGAAGATCTTTTTATAGATGCGTGTTTAAGACAACGAAGAAAAAAGCAAGTTAAAGCCAGAATTAAATGTACGCAGCAGTTTTTCAGTACGCAAAAGACTTAAATACTTGGGACAAAAAATTATTTGTCTAGAATCATCTAGACAAATTTCTAGTTGGCCTAGATTAGAAAGACACCATGAGACCCTCCAGTCCAAACGTTTTTCTACAATGTTTGGCTTAAGGTCAACAACAGTAAAACAACTGCATTTTCCTCTTGACTGGACTTTTTCCCTGTCTATCCATACTCTCGAATTCAATTCATATTGTCAGAAATTTCCCTTTTTTTTTTTTTTTTTTTGCAACTCACGAAGAGAAAAAAGTTGGCCAAATTTAGATCTTCAGCCTGGTTTGCCTCCAGAAGTTGTGGGTACTCCAGCACTGGAGATTTTCAACAAAATATTGAATAAACGTTTTTTCTGGAATGGTGCATAGGGTCTCCTGTCTGAGCAGGGGGTTGGACTAGAAGACCTCCAAGGTCCCTTCCAACTCTCTTATTCTGTATCCTGTATCATTGACTCATTCACCCTAAATGTTTTGCAGAAATTCCAGCCCTATAAATGAATGAATTGGGACTATCCAGCTGTGCACAGCAGCTGTAATAGCTTTTTCCCATCCTTTTCCCAAACCGTGGCCCCCAAATTTATTTACAAAGACGGATCCATGCCCTCCCGACACATCTCATGCCAAAACAAGAAGCAACAGAGAAGCAGCAAACCTGTTAGGACTTAGTGAAAGGGGAGCCAAAATATCCCACCAGAACTATTGGACAGGTGATCCCGCAGAGCAAGCTAAGCTAGATCATAATCCCCCAACAAGATAAGATATATGCATATTCACAGGCAGTTTCCCCCATCTGGTGACCTCCAGATCTGCTGGGACTGCAATTCTCATTCTTCCTAGCCAATATGGTCAAACAGGAGCCTGGGAATTCTAGTTCCCAAACATCTGGCAGGAATTTGATGGGAGAAAGCTACCTTAATAGTAACATCAACCTGTGTGTTCACAGGCAACTCCCTTCACCTGGTAACCTCCAGGCCTGCCAGGGCTGCAATTCCCATTCTCCCCAGCCAACGTGATCAAAAAGGACCCTGGGAATTCTAGTTCCAGAAACATCTGGAAAGAACTCGATGGGGGAAAGCTGCCTTGACAAAAAGATCAAGGGTAGACGTGCATATTCCCATGCAGTTCCCTCCATCCGGTGACCTCCAGATTTGGTGGGCCTCCAATTCCCATCATCCCCAGCCAGGCAGATTGAAAGAGGAACCTGGGAATTCTAGTTCCAAAAGCATCTGGAGGGAACCTGACAGGAGAAAGCTGCCTTAACAAAAAAAACATCAAAGGTAGACAAAAGAAGTAAGTGTGGAGAAGACTTCAAAATCCTGTTGTGAGGACGTTTTGCTTTCTTCTTTGGTGCTTTTCAGTTTTTAAATTTTTATCTATTTTTTTTTAAAAAAAATTGTCCAGGGACCAAGTGCGTTGCTCAGCAGCTTCAGACATTGTCCCTCTGCTTCACATTGGACAGCTTGACGCTCTCCTCGTCGTTGGCTTCGGGAGGTGGTTCATTGTGGCAACCTATCATCAGCTGGTAGACCATAACGCCCGCGATGGCACCAAGGAAGGGGGCAACGATAGGAATCCACCACCAGTGTCCAGAAGTGCTGTAAGATACAAGCAGGAGAAGTGGTGAGATGAAAGGCAGTTGGCTAGGTCAATAGGAGAGAATATTTGGAGTTCAGGGCTGAACTGTGGGGTCCTGGGTGCTCTCTGAACTTGGATGTTCATTTGCAGACATTTCATGACCCAACTAGGTAACATCATCAGTGCTAGAAGGGAGTGGGGTTTGTGGAAAGGAGGAGGAGGAGGAGGAGGAGGAGGAGGAGGAGGAGGAGGAGGAGGANTTGTGGAAAGGAGGAGGAGGAGGAGGAGGAGGAGGAGGGACTGTGGAGTCCTGGGTGCTCTCTGAGCTTGGATGTTCATTTGCAGACGTTACATGGCCCAGCTGGGTAACATCATCAGTGCTAGAAGGGAGTGGAGTTTGTTTAGGGGAAGAGGAACAGAAGGAGGAAGAAGAGGAGGAGGAGGGACTCTGGGGTCCTGGGTGCTCTCTGAGCTTGGTTGTTCGTTTGCAGACATTTCATAACCCAACTAGGGACAGAGTGGGGTTTGTGGAGAGGAGGAGGAGGAGGAGGAGGAGGAGGAGGAGGAGGGCTGTAAGATTCTTGGTGCTCTCTGAGCTTGGTGGTTTTCTTGAAGACATTTGATAACCCAACTAGGTAACATCATCAGTGCTAAAAAGGAGTGGGGTTTGTGGAGAGGAGGAGAAGGACTATGGGATCCTTGTTGCTCTCCGAGCTTGGGTGTTTTCTTGCAGACATTTCATGACCCAAGTAGGTCACATAATCAGTGCTACCAGTATCAGTAGTACTATTATCAGTAGCATTGGAGATGTTTACTTAGTTGGGTCATGAAAGGCCTGTAAGAAAACCACCAAGGTCAGAGAGCAGTAAGGAATTCACAGTGGGGTATGTCTCCTCTCTTCCCTTCACCCTCAGTGACTTATTTCTATTCATGCTTTTCAAGATCATAGGGGGTCATCTTTCTCTTTTTTCCCCCCCTTGGCTTTGAACTATCTCCTCTTTTTACTGAATAGGACAAGTAAAACTGAAGTTTAGGATCCCTGCCTATCAACCTTTCGCCCAGGATCCAGCAAAACTGTAGCATCTATGTAGATTCATTGGGCAATCGTTAACAATGGAATTGTTCCTCAACTCCACACCCCAGTTCCACACCCCGTCTCACCGACTGTGCTTTCTAGAAATTTCCCTTGGCACCGAACATCAATCAAGCAATATCAACCAATCAGACTAGAAGAGACCTTGGAGGTTATCCAGTCCAGCCCCTGCTCAAGCAGGAGACCCTCTACCATTTCAGACAAATGCTTGTCCAATCTCTTCTTAAAAATTTCCAGTGTTGAAGCATTCACCGCTTCTGGAGGCAGGTTGTTCCACTGGTTAATTGTTCTTACTGTTAGGAAGTTTCTCCCTAATTCCAGACTGCTTCTCTCCTTGATTAGTTTCCATCCATTGTTTCTTGTCCTGCCTTCAGGTGCTTTGGAAAATGAGTTGACCCCCCTCTTCTTTGGGGCAGCCCCTCAAATACTGGAACACTGTTATCAGGTCACTCCTAGTCCTTCTACTCATTCCAGGGGTAGGCAACCTTAGCTCTTTTATGACTTGTGGACTTCAACTCCCAGAATTCCTGAGCCAGCCATGCTGAGGGGAAAGGGAGAGGTTTCCAAGCTGAGCCGTGCTGGCTCAGGAATTCTGGGAGTTGAAGTCCACGAGTCATAAAGCAGCCTAGGCCTAGGCCAGAAGTAGGCCACCTTGGCTCTTTTATGACTCGTGGACTTCAACTCCCAGAATTCCTGAGCCAGCCATGCTGAGGGGAAAGGGAGAGGTTTCCAAGCTGAGCCATGCTGGCTCAGGAATTCTGGGAGTTGAAGTCCACGAGTCATAAAAGAGCCAAGGTTACCTGTCCCTGGACTAGCCAAACCCAAATCCTGCAACCGTTTTTCATAGGTTTTAGTGAAAAATAGAAGAACAGAAGAGTTGAAAGGGATCTTG